AGTAGCTTGACTCAATTTATGTTCTGATTCTGGATCAATTTGACAATAACAAAGTTTTCAGAATATGAATGAATACTCTTAAAGTCTCTGGCTGGTGTTTTCCATAGCAATGACCTTATGTTGTGTAGTATTTCATACAGTCATTTCAATACACAAAACTGTCAGGAAAAAAATGTAATAAAAAAAAAAAGACGATTTGTTTAGTATCTATACAACAGTATCAAGTAGGTTTCTGTCATTGTTTAACTTCCATTCAAATTGATTCTCTTACTTTTTCACTATTTTTGTAGACTAAAACTCAAACAAGAAGTCATATGTGTGCAAACAACTGATTAAAAGTTAACAAAGCCAGCCAGATAATTGTCTGACCTTCAGAATGCTTAAACATTATGCCTTACAGCTACACATCACATCTTAAAAGAGAGTCTAACAGTGTTTGGTGGTAAGGATCAAATTGGATGCCAGTGTCGGAAACCTTCAGAGGGAGCGTGCTCGCGTATCCCCTGGCTGGGTATATTTCTCTATTAGTTGGCTATTCAAAGCTTGTTGAGAACACTGATTAATAATTATTGTCTCTTTTCCCAAAGGCTAAATTCAAATAATCATTTCAACCTTTTTAATAAATTATAACATGACAACAATGTAACATAGCACTGAAAGCAAAACTGCAGCACACAAGCGAACACGCTACAGGAATGTATTTGCTTGTCTGCCGATAAAACTGTAAATTGTGAGAGTCAAAAGGTCAGGTTGTATTTTTTTATCCTCTGCTTGTATTGCTGTTGGAAAAGACTGCCAGGAAAACACACACACACACACACACACACACACACACACACACACACACACACACACACACACACACACAAGTGCAAACAACATGAAAAAAATTCATTGGCAAGTTAGGAGAAGTTGAAAGGGATACTTGGAAAGATAAGTGCTGAGGAGGAAGCACTTAGGAAAGGCACCCCAACAGTTAATTTCCTTTAGCAGTACATATTGCCTTCCTGGCCAACACTCAAAACGCAACACACAGCTGGTGGAGCCTCAGTTCATGACCCCCATTGTCTGCAGGCTCTGAGAACAGGGTCTACCCAAACATACAATGGCAATCTGCAATCAGCGTTATGGCTGCATTAAAAATACAGTAAAAGGTTGTTTTAATAGCGAGCCTTTAGACCAACAGGGGAAAATGGTTGCAAGAGGTCACAATAACAATAATACTACAATAGCAAATGACTTTTTGTGAATGTACAGTGTGTTTAAAATGGTGAGTAAAAACAGTAAAATGTTCATGATGATGCTACAGTATGTTTACACCCTATCAGCAACAGGTGTAATAATATCTTGATTCTGCTTAAACCTAATATAATTTGTGCTATTAAATCTATCAGGGGGGAAAAAGGACGCAATGGTTTCAGCTTCTAAAACGTGATGCTCTGCTTCTCTTTTCTGGTCTTACGATGGAGTAAACTGATTATCTTTGGGTTTCTGATAGTTAGATACAATGATAGAACAAACAAGTTGAAAACGTAGCTGGGAAATTGTGATGCGCATTTTTCATTATTTTCTGATATTTTAGACACCAAATGAATATTAAATTAAGAAAATAACTGTCAGATTACTGAAGGTGAATATGACTTCAAATAAACTTTTAGAAAATAATTATACAAATACTTTTCTTCTCTGCCATTTGATATCATATTAGCACGGTGTTGCCCTTTGAGGTGTCCTGACCTAAAGTAATGGATTAAGTAGAAGAGTGATCGCTCTGCTTTCCACTGTGACATCCTCCACCTTCATTATTTTCTGCATCAGAGACCTAGCCATACAATACCGCTTGCTAATTTCATAACAACACGCATTACACAATTTGTCGTTTTGATGAATGAGATGAATGGTGGTGGGGGTCAAGGGGCCACTCAGGCCACAGGGGCTAGTGCTAACAGGCAGCCCTCTCTTGAGCCTGCCGCACTAGTACACACTGTTCTCATGCATGGCCACCTCCTCCAAACACACAGATACACAGAAAACATACATTGCCCGGAAGTGGGCAGGTCCAGAGCTGAGAGATGAGATCCTGCAGACAGCACGGGGTGGCTGGGGTGCATACTGATATACGTCTACACACACACACACACACACACACACACACACACACACACACACACAAGGCACCTACATGGTGGGCCACTTCAAACACATTCCACAGCATGCGCAGCATTGTCGGAAAATGCCACTGTGCACTTCAGTGAAGAGTGCCTGAGTGTCCAAATGGGCTACAGACAAACTCACACACAAATGGGGGGCATCTCTACTCGCCCTGATTTTACAAATCAACATACTACTCTACCAGAAGAGTTGAAAAAACAACTATTCAACTGTTCTCCCTGAATAAAAAAGGAGACTGTTTTGGACCTTTAATTCAGATTGTCATAGTGGGAGATCCTTTGGGCTTCGCAGACTGTGTGACAGACTTGATTTAAGCAGCGTACAGACGCCTATATAACAAGAAAGTATATGTGACAACACATGCAAACGCATATACACACTACCCCTTTCCAACAGAGCTGTGCTTACAAGCCTGAGAGGAACAAGAAGGGGGCAAGGCTCCCAGTTGCACAACTTGTTTTTCGCGAGTTAAACCAGGAGACAGCTCAGCGGTTACTTCAGAAAACTGTTTGCTGATAACTATGACAAACAGCCCGATCAAAATCAACGAACAGCCTGTAAAAAACACTTTATCGCTTTCTCTAGAGAGCAGTCAGCGGATCACAGTCGCAACGTGGTTTATATATCAATACTGCTTCCCCTTTCCCAGGACTGAGGTGAAGATGTCAGGCAGCGTGTGCATTCAGAATGAAATATTCTAAGTATTTTGGTTGTTGCCCACCCCCCCTTAGGCGTAAACATCTCAAAGAGTGCCAAATATGGTCACTTCCCAGAGAATTGAGTAAATCAGGAACCAGAAACAGCCAATGACATGTACCCCACTCCCTGAGAGAGACAGAGAAAGAAAGAAGAAAGAGGAAGGAGGGGTACCAGCAGCCCTGTCTCATAAGACCCCCTTTCAGGGGCCTCTGTTCTGTCTGCATACATGACCTGTGTAAAGTAGACAGAACATTTCCTTTGAACCTGGCCACTGGGAGCCAATTTTAAAGTAGTACAAATCAAAGATTAGGGGTCCACAATGTTACTGAATTAAAGACAAAGAATAGCAAACACTATTGTTTTAATGGTTTCATTAAGGTGACTTCATTTTAAACTGATGTAAATGCTCACTCGCTCTATTCACATGCACTAGTGTTGTGTCCTGAGACACTCTGAGGACTTGTGAAACACATCATCTAAAAACACTGAACACCAATCTCAGAAGTACAAATGTAGGCCAAAGGTTAAACCACTGATAAACAAGTTAAATGAGCATTAATTAATTTCAGTATACTGCATTCATCTCCAATGAAAAGGTTTTTCCATTGGGACATTCATTCATTCAGACTCAGACAACACTACACTAGTAACTTATCACATGGTCAAATGTATTGTCCTCTTGAAGTGAGAAGGTCTGACTTATCTGCAACTGTCCATAATTAAAGAGGTAAAGATCTACCTAGAATATATGATTCAGTCATTTTTATTGCTGGAAGAATTCATTTATTTCTATAACTTTGATAAATCGGATGTTATTTACTTTATTTTCAATACAGATTGTGGATGAACTTCTCAGCCTGTAAAAAGATAAATAAACTGATCAAGTGATTTTATTCCTCCACTATATGAATGCTTTAATGCGACAGCAGCCTACAGCAACCATTGAAAACAAAAATCCATGCTGCACATAATCACTCCGCTGATGCCATGTTTCAAGGCGAGGTCTGTAGGCGCTTTACAGCGGGCTCATTATCTCCAGCTCTCTCTGGCAAAGCATCACGGGACTGTTTAGATTACACGCTGTTTTATTATTACAACCAAGAACCCTAATTCATTAATAAAAAAAATGTTTAAGCAAAAGGCAGCAGCAGAACCAACACCACCACGCATTATGGACATCCTAAGACGCCCATACTTGTAGTCCAATCTGGAGCTGAAGAGCAACACAGGCTAATCCACCACCTATAAAGAGACTTCTTAGCGTCGGCGGCTAATTTGTTTACGTTCAGGCTGCAGCAGCGCCTTGTGTGTGTGTGTGTGTGTGTCTGTGTGTGTTGTTTTTGGTGTGTGTCTGTCGCCATGAGAGGCCTAGCTGCGCTCACAGGGCCAATCCTGCTACTCCCAGTTTAGACTCGCTGCAGCAGACCACACTCGTCCAGTTACAGAGACTAATCTGGCCCTGGGGCTGGCGCATCCGACACAGGCCGCTAAAATATGTACCTTAAAGAGACAGCGTGAGGGGGGGGCGTTACCCAATAACTTAACGGCGGAGTATCAATTATTAGCGCGCGGCCACGACAACTGAAATTACTAGCCCCTTAATTAGACCGTGTGTGAAACTCTACGCATGCGCCAGGATGAAGGCGAGAGTCCCGTGACTAACATTACCATCTTCATTGATCAAACAAAAACAATAAAATAATCTTTTTTTTTAAAGCTCCTTTATCTCCAATAATATTCCACCAGAGACTTGTGTCAAAACGTATTTATATTTATCTTAATATTACACTTTATTTTAAGCATTTTACGCAATAATATTATATATATATATATATATATATTGTGTATGTTTGTTTGTGTCTTTATCACACTTTGTAATAATTCATGCTCCTATAATGATACCGTACTCGTACACAAATGTACACCTGTAATATCTAGTGTAAGATATTTATTCAAAGTGAATAAATCACACACAAAAAATTATTTCTTGTATGTGCAAACTAAATATACAGTATGTTAGGTGGCGCTGTGTGCAGTGGGAAACAGTAGAAAATATGTGCCATGAGAAGCATACAGCGAAAAACACAGCGTGAAAAATAAATGTTAAAAATAAAAAAGGGAATACTCACTTTCTCCGTTTATTAGTCCACACTGGCATATAATGCAGGTGCCGATGATAAAAAACACAATTTGTGCTCGCAGCTTTAGCGTCCACCGTCTCATTTTGACTTGAAGGTAAGTTGTTCTCTCCTCTTGTGAAGAAAAACAAACTCCAATCTTCAGGGAGAAATGTTTATTTAAAAAAAAAGAAAAAAGAAAAACGCTGGAATATTAAAAAAGTATTCAACAACAACAAAAATTAAGGTCCAATAAAGCCAACTGCGTCGAGGCTGCCCCCCGCAAGCTTACGGGGGGTTGGGTAATAAATTTATGAGTATCTTCCCAGCCAAGTTTGTGATGTATGTGAGCCCTGGAAAAAATGCAGACCACTAAATAACGTGATCTTCGGTTCTGGCAACACATGTGCGAGTAAAGAGCTTCATTTTCCATAAGTGGAGGCGACAGTCCACGTTCATCTGTAATATCTTGGTGCTCCACTGAATCAAGTAGAGAAATAACAGTATTAGTATTATTATTATTAATAATAATAATATCCCGCACAGCAGAGAGGGGCTAGTTTGGAGGTCCCCGAAGGAGGTCCACTGGCCCCGGGCTCATTTCTCTGTAACGCACAGCTCCGATGAGGGAAGACCCGCTTTAAAAAACAACAACAACAAATTACTAATAAAGTATTTTCACAGCCTCCTCTTCCTCTTCTTGTCCTTCCAGCAAGTTGTGGATAAAATACAGAGCCAAGACCTGGAGTCGGCAGAGTGGGGTCTGCTCTGTCTCTCTCTCTTTCTTTCTTTTTTTTGAAGTCCACAGGTCTTTATATTACCCCCTGTTCGCTGGTATCTCCTCGGCAGCTTTTTTTTTAAGACAGATGGGAGCACATCCCAGGAAACTCCTCCGAGCGGCTACGTGCAGGAAAAACGTGCAGCTTTTCTCTCCCCCTACTACGACCTTCCTCTGAACTCCTTCACCCCCGCTGACCACCGCCGCCGCCACGCCGCCGCAAAACGGATGAATACCCATAAAACGACAAAACGGGAGAAAAGAAAACAAAGCGGAGGAGGAGGAGGAGGAGGAGGGAGGAGGGAAAACTTGGGAGGTAAAAAAAAAAAAACAACAAAACGTTACTTCTTTTCCCATCCACCGTGAGAGAGAGAGAGAGAGAGAGAGAGAGGAGGAAAGGAGGAGAAGAAAAAAAAAACATACACGTTTGCTTTGAAGTGAGAAAACTCTCCACCACGCCGCCCGTTTCTTTTTCTCAGATTAACGTTAGTAGCCGTTGGAGAGGAGGAGGGGAGGAGAGAGAGAGAGAGAGAGAGAGAGAGAGAGAGAGGGGGGGGGAGAAAAAAAAACAGCTAACGTTAGCTAGCTAATCCAAAACAAAACGAGTACGATAGAGTTAAAGATAAAATAAAATTTAAAAAAACCCTCACAGACGCACCGAAAGTCAGTATCTCGTCTCCGGTAGTCAAAAAACGACGAGGTAAACAAACGTACAAAGACTTAAAAAGACGGGTCAAGTGTAAAAACTTGGATTCCCGTTCCGTTTTAGCGATTGCTCTCCCTCAGGTTCCCCCTCTTTCCGTCTCTCTTTTCTGCGAGTCTCTCCACCAGTAAACAAGTCCTGCCAGTCACCTCAGCTGGGCCACACATGGTCGGCGGGAAAACCCGGAGCGGATCGCCGGCTGTAAGCTCGCTAAACGGGCCAGGAGAGGGTGGGGTGGTGGGGGTCCGGATCCGGAGTCAGCGGCAGAGCGAACACCGGTGCGCTTTGTCGGGGGGGGGGGGGAGGGGAGTGATACACAGCAACACCTCCAACAACTGGAGTACAAGGGGGGGGTGTATAACATTGGTTATATGTATTTTATATATAGATATATGTTGTTAAATAGCAAAATCACCTGTTAAATTATAGTCACCAACCTTTGTGTTTCCTTAAGGGACCCCCTTTTCTATCATTTAGTGGACTAGCGACCCCCTGACTAGAATATATTTATATGGATATTTCATATTATATACAAAAACTGTACAATGAACACAAACAATAAGAAGTTTGTGTTCATTTTGAGCACATTATTTTCTGTTTAGGGATTTTTTGAAATATAATTATTAATAAATTAGCATTTAAAATCATTTTTAACATTCATACATATGTAATTAGCGTTTTTTGTTGTTGACAAATTCAGTTTTTTTCTCGTCCCAGACACTTGGCCATTGTTCTTTCTTTACTTTTGCTTAACAGAAGTGAACCGAATGCTGAGATATACGCCTATTGTGTATATTCTTTATGTTTTCAACAAGGAAGGAAGAATCAATAAGAGTGGGAGTAGTTATAGTTAATATTCACCAGTGTTTGGTAAAGGGAAGTTTCAACTGAAAATGTCATTTTTCAGTTTGCCCTAATTGAATATAGACTAGAATATATAATTAAGTCATTTTTATTGCTGGAAGAATTCATTTATTTCTATAACTTGGATAAATCGGATGTTATTTACTTTATTTTCAATACAGATTGTGGATGAACTTCTCAGCCTATAAAAAGATAAATAAACTGATCAAGTGTTTTTTTTCCTCCACTATATGAATGCTTTAATGCAACAGCAGCCTACAATACTCTCAACCATTGAAAACAAAAATCCATGCTGCACATAATATAGTTAATATTCACCAGTGTTTGGTAAAGGGAAGTTTCAGCTGAAAATGTCATTTTTCAGTTTTCCCTAATTGAATATAGATTAAATATTACATATTTGGATTTATGATTAATCTGCTGATTATTTTCTTGATTTAGTTTTTTGTCTATAAAACGACAAGAAATAGTTAAAATGCAGGACTACTGATGTAATAATAGTAACAATAAACTCTACTCACAATTCGATACAATCCACATTAGATTCAAGTCAAATTATATAGTTTCCTTTATTTCTCAGACAAAAATCGACATATTATTTCTCGTATATTTTCTCCATAAAATTATAAAATCCTTTTTTATTTCCAATGTAGGATATAAACAATGAAATCTCATGAATTTCAATCTTCACATATTTGTATCATGATTGAAATGTCTCACAATATATCTTAAAATGTCTATCCAAAGCCCCAAAGAAATTTGTTTCCTATCATATATGACAAAGAAAAGCAGATAATCCTCACCTTTGAGAAAGTGAATATTGAGATAGATTGGCATGTTTGCTGTTAACTGATTATAATATAGTTGCAAGTTCATTTTCTTTGATTTCTTTCTTTGACTAACCCCCTTAGCTTTATCCAGTTTGGTGATATTTTTAAGATTAGAGGCCGTCGGTCAGTTATTTCTTTGGCACATGAGGTTTTTATGCAGTAATCTCTCAACCGAAAATCAAAATCCATTCGTATTTCTTATCATATAAAGGCTAACCTTGATTTAAGTGGCTTCACACGTACTGTATACCTAATAAATATAATAGTTTGTGAATGTGTACATGTGGATTATATGAAGAGATGGCAAAGCCGCAGCTGAAATATGAAAGATTTAGATTAGAATATGAGATCTTTACAGAGTTAAAAAATAAACTTGCCAGAGCTCTCTGGTGGCAACACAGTTTCTAAACACATCTTAATCGTCATGTTGTTATGTGATAAGCTACTAACTGATTTATCAGTCGGGCTAATCATGAGACATTTGCTTAAACAATTGGTTTGTTGTTTAAAGACAGAAACTTTCTCCCCCCATATATTTCCGGACGAATTTCTGAAAGCAACTTTTCTATGAAAAATACACAAAGCAATTGGGAATCAAACCCCAGCAATGTTTAAAAAAAACTGCATTTGATACTTCAGATGATACGATCTTTACAATATCCCAACTTGCACTCATGCTGAACCGAGCAGCATGTAACAGTTGATCACCTGAGGCGAACCAGCACCAACGGCAACAGGAGAACATGCAACTATTCCTTAACGATGTTACATGTCTTTCTTACATTTTAATAGATGACATGAGATTTGTGGGCCCCTGCAGCCAGACAGCAGACTACAATACCTGCCTGCAGACAGCAAGGTACACATAGTTCCCTCAGTTTTGCATAGCAAATGTACTTATAATAAAACCTGTCCTATTATCGGAACAAAATACCTGGAAGTCCTTCACTTACAGGATGTCTGAACGCCGCCACAGTTCTTACCTCAACAACTGACTTATAATAGATTAGAATAGAGGATAACGTTTGCTTCTTGTTTATCAGATAGGGGTGCAGTTTGTGTACTTGGATGGGTACACACTGGTCTACTCTGCTAAGAGCTTGTGGAGCAGGCTTGTTGTTAATCTGAGGAATGTTGTTACCCAGTGAACAGAGTAAATGAGGTCTTAGTGAGATTAAATGTCACAGGTCTGAAGGACTAAGGGTTGTGGAATCTAGTCAAAACAGATCTCTTTGTGGTTGTCACGCTGTCTGACGCCAACTGGAGGCACACACATGCAGTCTTATTCTCTTCACACCTTGTTTCTCTCAGGTACTGTACATAACACCAGTTTCTTTCTTTTTTTCAGTGGGAGTAGAGGAAGTCAAGTGAATGGCTTTTTATCCCACTAACCTACCTAGAGTGCTGTTATGAGTCTACACATGCAGCACTTGTGCAGCACTACAGCCATGCTCCTGCTCTGTTGTACTACGACTTCATTTCAGTAGGTGGCACTAAAAATAGCTCCAGCCAATTCACTTACTCCAAATGTCAAACAGGGACAAAGGGATACAACGTTGTGAATAAATAGGATTAAATCTGACCAGAGAGGCAAGCGTAGGGAGCTTTGGGCTATGTCAAATAAACCTAATGTGATTCTGTCAGCATGTAATGAGTATTTTAAGGTTGTAAGGAGTCTTTGGTAAAGCTTCTTTCATATGATGACTGCAAATTAAGAATTGTAAATCAAATATGTTTTTTTTTCCCACCCCTAAACAGTCTCTGTCGCTCACAAAGGCAGTACTGGGAACATGGATATGGTAAAGCTGTTGACACTTCTCTGTTTATAGCAGGCTCTGGGGCAGAATTAGGATGTTTCCACCTGGTATTTGGTCGTTTATTGAGACTGGAGGATATGCAGATATGCAAATAGCACAAAGATGGTTGTAGATTGACAGTTGAAGAAAAAAGCTACAGCTCTCATATCAGTGAACGTTTTACCTCAAGCCCTCAAATGTCCCATTTTATATCTTCTTTTTTTCTAGCAAAACAGCAGATATCCACATATACAATTTTGAGCAGTGGCGCAACAAGAGACATGCATGTTCTCTTTAACCTCTTCTGTTCCTTCAGATCCACAAAGGTATTGAACGTATGATGGATACAGATGCTTCCGTACAGGGCACAAGGATTCAGCAAATGACACTCGACAAATTCTCATCAAAAATGATCTTCCAGCACTCTACCTCACTATATAAAACACTTCCCAAGGTGACCCTTCTATCTTGGAAATAACACTTGCTATGGCTGAATTTTTCCAGTGGACAGTATTTTTTTTGTCTTTTCGGGGATTTGGGGCTGATATTTTAAAAAAGAAAGGCAGCAAGCCCCATTATCATATTTCTTCTATCTAATTGTACAAATATTTATGCATTTCTACTAACGTAATATTTGCATTTATATCATTTAGTCAGAAAAATCTCCCAAAACAGGAGCTTTGGGCCCCCTGAGACCAAATGGCCCCGAGCTTGGGGTGCTTGTTATCAACTTGTGATGGCCTCTAGGTATATGCTGACAGTATAGTGAAAAAAGGGTTGCAGAAAACATCCTGAGGGCCGGACCTGGCTCCCGGCCTAATATCTTAAACTTCAGCCTTGTGCTAGTAAGTGTCAAGGCACCGTTAGAGCTTTACCAGGTCCAAATAATATCTTGATTTGGCCTCAGTCTCATCAAGAAGGTGACATATAACAGCTCATGGGGCGAAGCTGCATTTACTTGCATTTCCACCTCCTGCCTCCAAACATTAACTCCTACTGCATATTATGTCTGTTTTTCCCTCTCTCTCACACACTCACACACAGATGCAGAAGGCAAAACTCCCGCTCACTCTCTGCTGCAGCCTGTAAATGGAGGGATTAATATGTTTGAATGGAGAGAGTCTCTTTCCTTTGTTGGTGTGGAAGGCTCAGTAATTAACTGCCTGGGGAGCCAGGAAGCAGGAACCTCCGTTCAGCCTCTGTGTGTCTGTGTATGCATGAGGGCATCTGTGTGAGATGTCCACCAAGGAGAGGGGTCATGAGCTTAAACAGACAAAGCGTTCCTGGATTATCCTTTTCAAATGGCTCCCTGTGTTAGTGATTTACACTTTTAGCACTTGCTGTTCCTGCACTTCAGACGCCAGCAGCCTGCAGCAGAGACAAACACACAAACAACGGCTTCTCTTTCTCTGTCTGATGCCCTTGTTGTATCTCAGTCACACTCACAACGCAGTCACATACACTGTGCTGTCATTCAAGCGAGAGGGTCCACACGTATTCCTGCTCGTTTTATATGCCAAAGCTTCGTAGAGGGAGTGTACAGAAACACACACAACAGGATACATGGGTGATAGGTGTTTTATTTTGGTATATCTGCAGGGAATCAATCAATGAACTTCCTCAATATCTTTCATAAG